GACCGACACCGGCACACCGAGACCACCGCTCGGGGCGGTCGGTGTCCTGGTCGAGCCGGTGCGGACGTTGTTGCTCTCCCGGATGGCATTGGCCACAGTGACAGCCGCCGCCGTAATGCTTGGCGGCGCCGGCTGGCTGCGCGCGAGGAGCGGACTCACGGCCGAGCCCGGCGCCGGCGCGCCCACGGGCGGCGTGTCGGTGCCACGGCGCAGCTCGTTGTCGTCGCCGTTGCGCTTGGGCGGTTTGAAGTTGGTGTCGCGGCCCTCGCGGTAAATCTCCTGCAGCTGGGTCTCGAGAATGCCGGCGTCCTCGTACTCGAGGAACTTGCGGTACAGCTTGAGGGCGGTGCGCGCGTCCTCAATCGAGTCGTGCGTCTCGAGCTGGATGTTCTCCTTGAGCACGCTCCAGGCCAAGAACGCCAGCGACAGCTTGCGCAGGCGGGTCTTGAGGAAGAACAGGTCGATCGTGTCGATGATGTGCGCCTTAGGCACCTGGATGTTGATGACCCGGAAATCCTGCTTCAGGCCGTGGCCCAAGAACTTGCAGCCCAGGTTGAGCAGCACCCACAGCTTCTTAAAGGCGCGCTTGAGCGGCACGAGCGTGTGCGTCGACTTGCGCGGGTCGAGGTCGTTGGCCGTAATGCCCGAGTACAGCGTCAGGTAGTCCACCACGGGCTCCTTGATGATGATGTAGTCGTCGATGAACGGCACGCCCTCGTCCATGCCCTGGCCGCGGACGACCGACACGCGCGCGAGCGCGTGCGTCATCGGCCGGATCGTCTCCATCTCGCCCTCGGAGTTCATCTCGATCTCGGGCTGCTTCAGCGCCACAAACTCCGTGTCAATCGCCAGAATCGTGTCGGGGCCCGGCCGCTCGTGCGTCGGGGACAGCGGGCGATACGTGGCCTCGCCTCCTCCAGCCTGCTGTTGTTGTTGTTGTTGCTGCTGCTGCGGCGGTGGCATCTCGTTGTCCATGTACAGCACCGACGTGTCGATGCGGCTCTTCCATTCCATGTCGATCTTGTTGTTGTCGCTCTTGAGCTGGAACAGCACCACAGACGGCGTCTTCCAGTTCGTGTTGAAGGACAGCGCCTCCCCCGGCGACGTCTGGCGCACCAAAAAGTCATTGAACAAGTGCCACTGCGGCTGCTCCGGCGGCGTGGGCTCCGAGTAGCCAACATTGACCATGGCGACGAGGTGCGACTTGGCCGGCTGGCCGCCATTGTCGACGCTCACGGCCATGCCGATCAGCGAATACACCTTGATGTCGTGGATGCCGCGCTGAAGGTGCAGCTTCAAGTCCTCCCCTTCGTAGCAGAAGAACTGGCCCGCCGTGTCGACAATGATGCCAATCTCGTCCGGCAGCCACCCGGGCGTGCCCCACAGCCGCCGCAGCTCCGGGTAGTTGAGGTTCTGCGGCCCGCTGGCGTTCAGCGTCAGCACCGACGGGATGCTGGTGATGGTCTTGCGGTTGAGCAGCGTCTGATACCGCTTGCAGACCTCGCACCAGCCCTTGGTCGACGAGTCCTGCTCCACACTCGACTTGAGCACCTGCGAGAACGTCACCTTGGGGAACTTGGGCCCGCGGCTCGTCGTGCGCTGTGGCGCTGGGTACTTGAGGTTGTTGACGTAGGTCGACACGGGCCGCTTCGTCTCGCTTCGGCAGGCCATGCACCGCATATAGGTGATGCCCGACGTCGCCAGCGCGTCCTCCATGGCGGTCGAGTCGGGCTGCATGCGGCTGAAGTCACCGGCGATCTGCGTCAGCAGAAACCGCGTAAGATTCTGCAGCATCTCGGTGATGGGCGTGTTGGGGTTCTCCTCCTCAATCAGCCGCAGCTGGTGTGCCTGCGGCAGGCTGCTCAGCGTCTTGAGCATGTTGGTCGCCTGGCACGTGGCACCCTCGGCTTTCTGCAGCATGTCGCAGAGATAGCCCAGTTCGCACAGCAGACACTGGTCTTCCAGACACGCACCCGCGGCGTGCTGCAGTGCCAGGTTGCGGATCGTCGGCGTGAACCGCAGCAGCTGCAGCAGCGCGTTGGCGTACGAGTTGGCAAAGTGGTTCTCCAAGCCGGCATACCGCGAGCGGTTGTAATAGCCAAAATCAAAATCGTCGACACCAAATTTGCTAAATTTGATCTCCACGTTCCGGTACATACCCGGCGCTTCGGGGCCGAGACTAGCAAGCTCCGACGACGCCAGGGCCGCACCGATCTCGTCGACACTGTTGGGGAACGGCGGCTGCGCGGCACTGCTGTTGCCGCCGTCGCGAGACCGCTCGCTCAAGAACTTGGGCGCCTGGATGGTCTGGGTCGTCTTGTTTTCGTCCTTGCGCGTGTCCTCGACCTGATTCGGCAGTGTGCCCGCTGTGTTGGGTGCGTACCAGCCGTGTTCAAAGGGCGTCATCGCCTCGAGCATGCTGTGGTCGTAGCGTGGCGGCGGTGCGCCGACATCCGACACAAGGCTGGGAAAGGCCGACAGCAGCACGTCACGGTAGTACGGGACACCGACAATATTGAACGGCAGCGTGTCGTCGTTCTCCTCGTCAGACCATTCCTCCCACTCCGTCTCCTTGTGCGGCGGCTCGACCGTCTCCGTCTCAATCATGGTTGGGTACTCGGTAAACTGGATGCGCGCCGGCGAGCCCCAGAGATGCACATAGCAGTCGCTGTCGGCAAGCACGAGGGCTTCGCCCGTCGGAGAAATTTCTATGCGCGCCAGATACGACGCAATGTTCGCTTGCTTGACATTGCTCGTGTTCGGGCTCATGAGGTCGATAATATGTATCTGCCCCGATGTGGACGCGACAATGGCCGTCGTGACCATGCGCGGATGCATCCGCACAAAGGCCGCACACGGCGGGAAGGGGATCGGCGCCATGGAGGTCATCTGCTTGAGGTCAAAGAGGTTGACGTACGGGTCGAACATGACGGAGCCCTGCTGCTTCAAGGTCGCGCCGCACGTGACCAAAAAGTCCGCCTGCACATCCATGTCGTGGATGAAGGCCGAGTGTGCCGTCCAGCTCTTGAGGACGGAAAACGTCGCCGGGTCAATGATGTCGACGGTGCCGTGGATGGTGGCCGCACAGATGAAGCGGCTGTTGCGTTTCATGAGAGTGTAGTTCTCGGCAGTCTCAATCTGCCGCACAACGTCGCCCTCCTTGAGGTCCACCACGAGCATCGTGGTCTGGCGACCGGCCACGAGCACCTCGGACATGGACGCCGATGTAAAGCCCATGCAGCACATGTCGACCATGGCCTCGTGGCGGCAGTTCCACAGCGGCAGGCCCCGGCGCAGCGCCATGTGCAGGCCTCGCGGCCCCAGCGACAGCACGCCCGTGTCGTTGAGCAGGATTTGGCGCACCTCGCCGTCGGTCGTCGGCTGCATGACGTACGACACGTAGTTCTGAACCTCCGAGCCGTAAAAGGCGGCCACGCGGCCCTCGCTGTTGCCCGTCCACATCAGCTCCTGGGTCGTGTCAAAGGCCAGCGCCGACACGGGCGTGGCTGCGGGCTCCTCCTGGCCGCCATTGGACGAGCTGAGCTGCACGCATGCAATCTCTGTCCACTCGGGATCCATTTGCCGTCGGGCCGCGGGATCACATTCCCGGGAGACGTCGTCGTACGGGGGGTGCTTGTTGTGTTTTTAATTCGGATTCGTTATTGGACGCGGACGGGGTGGACTGCAGGAAAAGAAGGAAGATCAAGGTCGGGGACCGCTGCCTCTCGCGCACATTGTCCGTACTTGAAGTGTGGGGGTGGTCAAGTATACTGCATCGGCGGATGTAGGGGTCGTACGAGCGGCTCGAAGAGTGCCAATCTCATCTGCAGCATATGTTGGACGCTGATGCGATGAAGCGGAAAGTGAGGTCAATTGAAGGAAAGATGGGGAACCTAATCGCTATCAGCGTCGCAAGGCAAGGGGGGGTGCAGGCGCCCGAAACGGAAAGGGGCTAGTGCAGCTCTATGGCGGGAGAGGCAAGAGCAACCCGCACTGCGCGTGCGCTGCTCATGCGGGCCCAGACGCGGTGCTTGTTGACTTTGGCCCAGTTGGGTGGGGTAGGGGCTGGCGCGCCGCTTCAAGGTCAGTCACGTGAGTGGACTTGAAGCGGGCCGGTGCATTAATAGGCTCGAGAGGCTCACCGACGGCGTGGCGTATTAATACTGCACATGTCAGCACGAACAAACGCAAGGGGCGAGGCAAAGTTGTAAATTGCCTTTGCAATGTTTCTATTTACGTATTTTATAAGGGCTGTGATAAACTGATAGTGTGAAATTGTGTTTTAATTTACTTGATTTTGTTGATTTTCAAAATAATAATAATGATTTAAAAATACAAAGATAAAATAGAACCAAGGTAAATGGACATGAAAATTATCAGTTTGCAACCCGATAAGACTTAACTACGTTTATCAATACTCCCTGGTACAAAAATACTGAATAGATCACTACCGAACTACGCGTCGTCACACAATTTTACACCCAACTTTATTTCTCACAAAGTTGGGACAGAGACCTTATACTGTCATATTTATTCATGATTGATTTTCGTTTTCGCCGCTCGTCTTAGAAAAGACCAAAGTTTGACGAAGTCGACAAAAATCAAGGTATACAGAATACCAGGGTATGTACTAGAGCATCTTAAAACGGCGTGTGCAGAGAAGCAGACAAGACAGCAAGGAAATACAAATGGAGGCCAGTAGCAGACGGAAACAACAAAAACACCAAAACATAAAACCATAAACCAGAAAAAATTCAAGTGTAAGCGGCCAGCACGGTTGTGGCTGGCTTAGGATGGCTTGTTCCGTTTACTTGGTGAGCCAACCGAGGTAGTCGGCAACAATCAACGTCACCATACTGCAGCGTTATTAGCGTCATTGTCCATATTTAACAACACCACAAACAAACCAACGGTTTTGCGGGTTTGGATGAGAGGTAGTGGGGGAAGAGCAAGGCTGAGAAAAGAAAATACAAAAAACAGCCTTGGCTAGGGAAATGCACTTACGCATGTGGTGCAATGCGCACGTAGTATGTGCCAAATCCACGGTAGAAGCGCAGGATGCCCTCCTGGCGGGCCACCTTGGTAAAGCAATCGGCCATGCCCTTGTATGGGAGCCGACCGTCGGGGCCCTTTTGCTGCTTCTGCAGCCGTGTCTTGACAAAGTCAAAGGGCAGGGAAAAGAAGGAGGCAAAGAAGCCGGCAATGGCGCTGGCGCTTAGCGTCTGGGCGCGTGTCGACATCGTCGTGCGCTCCTTGAGCTGGGCCTTGGCCTCGCTGAAGAAGGCCAGCTGGCCAAAATTGAGAGCCATGGCACGCACTACGGTGGGTGCGGCACCGGCCCAGAGGCCGGCCACGCCCTCGGAACGGGCAATGGAACCGAGGGCGTCAATGACCGAGCGGTAGTTCTTGCGCTCGGCAATGGGTTTGAGGCCGTCACTCTGCATGCGGATAAGGGCAAGATCGGCTGGGTTTCCGATCATGGCGGCGATGCCACCGGCCGCCAGGCCGGCAGTGGCACGGTCACCAAAGCCAATGGCACGGCCACGTTCGCGGGCCCGAACGCTCAGGCGACCCATGAAGGTATCGAAACAGCCCAGGCGGGCCGTGGTGTAAACAGCCTGGCGCAGAAGGCCGGCAGATAGGCCGGTGTACAGGTCGAGGGCCTTGCCGCTGGCCAAGATCTCACGGGTGACGGACAGCGGGGTGGGCTTAGGGCCACCGGCGACGCCTTCACCGGCAAGCTGGATGCGGACCTTGATCATGTCGACGGGCTGGATGACGGTGGTGGCGACCATGCCACTGAGGCCACCGTTGATAAAAGGGAGGGCGGCACGCATGAGGGGCGTGTGAAGGAAGTCGGCAGTGGCCGTAGCCACGACGGCGGCTTCGCTCTTGGCTGAATTCATAACTTCGGATGACTTAGACCGGGCCGCTTCAGCTGCCTGCTTGATGGTGTTGCTGCTCATATTGGTAGGAGGGGAGATTTTTTCGGGGGTGAAGGGGGAAGCGGCGTCTTATTATGTGGGAACGATTTGAGTCGATGGACAGAAATGGAAAATAACGTAGTCTGGCGCCGGAGTGTAAATGTATATCAATTATACAAAATAAAACGGGGACTGTTCCGAAAGAGGGTCGTTATTAGTAAAGACTGGTCATCGGTAATTCGACGTGATGGGAATATGAGATGCTTCAAATTGGACCAACGGGAACTGCATGACTATGCAAGAAATGATAACGGACGAAAAGAATAATGCAAGAGAAATTGAAGAAACGATCAGAAGTAAAAGATATAACCAAAAATTAAACTTCAGTAGGAAAGAAGCAAGAACCAAAACGAGTCATTCCCAAGCAGTTGCTTGTTCGTCCACCTTTGCTGGCGATTCTTCCAGAACAAGTAATATGATGATACCACAACGTTTCAGCCTCCGATGGTCGCTGTGACATTTGCAGGCATCTCTATAGCTGCTGGCAGATAGAGAAATTGAGTGACATGTTCCGAAGAGAAGTAAAGATCCACCCACACGCTTGTGTGGCCAGCGATTGGTCTGAACTCTTGTAGCTGGCCAGGCCATGTCATCATAAAAGGCGCCATACCCAAGAGGAGAAGAGACGAGAAAAACACATATGGAGACTACTCCATCGTCCTCGCCAAATAAGAATGTTTCATGTCAGATGCCAGATGCCAGATGCCTTGCCTTCTTGGCTACTTGTTCTGGTTGCCCAAATAATTCCGTGGCTAGCATGAGTGGGATGAGTCGCCGTTGGATCGTGTAGCCGACGATGAGCCGAAGTTTTTCTCGTTCTTCGTTTGCTGGGAAACAACCCGCTTATTGGATAGGAGGGGAGGCTGACTGGCCGCTTGGCCTATCTCGGAAGCAAGATGAGGCATCGGTACACAATAGAATGGAGGAAAATGGAGAGGTTCAACGTGGACAGTGCCAAGGAGGAAGGCTGGCAGCGTGTAAGTGAAGTGGATATGCCAATCCAATCAATGCACGGACGGGGGTAGATGATTTGGTTCTCTGCCGTGTTTGGTTGGCCGGGTTGGGCCTAGGACGTCCGCCTGTTTGGGGGTATTTTCGGGAACGACAGGGCTTTTCGGTAAAGTAATGGATAGGTGAGTGTTTCCGACGGAAACGCAAGGGCCGCCGTCCGCAGCAGCGAAAGAGCGGTGCTAAACGAGAAAAGGACGAGAATAGACGGCAAGCAATCCGGCCCCATAGTGAAGGTGAGGTAATGGATAAGTAAGTCTCCACAGATTTTTTTTCTTCTTTTTTCTTCTTTTTTTGTCTTTTTTTTCTTTTTCTCGTTGGGCTTCCGTAGATTTTATCTGCGATTTTCCCTTGCTGCATTTCGATCTTATTTCGTCCACCAGTGGGAGGAGGGAGGTCGAGGCCAAGCGCGAGAGAGTGGAGCCGAAATGAACGTGTAAGTCAGTTGCTATGCGAGTGTGCTTTGGGTGGTTTGGTGATTTTGGGGACGTCTTGACGAGAGTGGGTATTTCAGAGGGGCGGCAGAGGACACGCAGATGATCAAGCTGCATGGCGCTGGAGTTGACCGTGGCCGGGAGCTTCAGTGGGCATAGTTGGAGACAACACAACAAAACAAAGAAAAGTTAAAAGATGAAAATGGACAGACACATTGTAACGTACCAAAAGGCTCTGGAGCTTCAAAGCTTCTAAACAAGGCTCGGCTAGGTCAATATGCAGACAGGCAGACAGAAGAAACAAGTGAAGGGAGAACGGCTTCTTCTTTCGGTCGATTCGCTCGATTGTTGGTTCTGATATGTGCGGAGAGATGCGGGGTTTTGCAAAAGCAAGAGCTCGTTCGCCCTGATTGTTTGTCGCTGGTTGCCACAACTAGTGCCCTAGTTGTGGTAATCCGAATGGAGAAAGTCGGAGGTCAGATGAGGGTGTGGAAGAGACCTTGGAAAGTTGGGTGGTAGCGTGTGTGGTATGGGTGGTATGGTAATGGGCACGCGCACCGGCAAAACAAGACAAAGAAGACGTAAGTGACAAGAGAGAAAGAGAGGGGAGAGCTGGGACGAAAGCTGAAATGAACAAGTCCAACAAATGGATGACCCTTGGAGCAAATGAAGGAAACGGATGTCGAGAGAGGGCCTCGAAATATAAAAGCTGGTTAGGTGTATAACCTGTCGGATACCAGCGAGAAGGCGATACGCTTGCGCAGGAGGTCCGTCGATGAAGAAAGTAATGCACGAGACGATGTCTTAAAGCCTGCAGAAAACGACAAAAGTCCTAGAGTAAGGTCACAGGAATGCTGATTGTTTCGGTCACATAGAGAAGATGCAGTCTGCAGGGCTTCGGATTGGAGAAAGTCCGTTAGCTGGCTATGATGCTGCGAGTCGCTGCGAGGCAGGTTCAGATATGTAGTCCTGGTTGGTCGTGACAGAGATTGAGGCACGAGAACGCCCCTAGAGATATTGGCAAAGAGGAAAAATAATAGAGAAGACAGAGGATGGGGGAGGGTCAGGGGAGCAAGATAACAAGATGGCGAGGAAGCACCAGAATAAAAAGAAGGACAGATGGAACAAGGCAGCTACGACTACGAGAACGGCAGTACGAAATAATGGCAAGAGCGATGGGCGAGAGCGACGGCGAGAACGGCTGTGCAGAAGGAAAGAGCAAACGAAAGTCAGGAAGACAGGGAGGAATGGGCAGGAACTTGTCGGGCGCTACAGAATTAACTACGGGCAGGCGCGGTCGGCATCGAAAAAGAGCACCAGAATTGCGAAAGAAGGAGGCAAAGTGAGGCGGAGGGGGGATGCGCAAGACCACACAAAAGGACGGAAGAGGGAGGGGGAAGTGACTTATTCGTGACTTGGTCCAAGTCAGAACCAGAGTGCGTGAGAGAGGGACAGAACAAGTACGCCACCGCACATCACGGATGTCCAGCTTGGGCCGGCGATGGTACAAGACAAGCAGCATGATGTGGCGTCGTCTTGAACGGATGCGTGATGACAGGTCGATGCGAACAGTTTCTGAGACGGTGAAAAGCGATGTCTGCTTGGTGATCGAGGCGCAATATTCCTCTGGAGCGGTTTCGCATTCGAAATCATGGTGATGCGATGGACTGGTGAAGTACGCCGTGCTTCATGTGTTGCTTTGGCGTTGTACTCGTGCACCTTCTTTGTGTGCGCGATTGACATCATAAGTGTGCATTCCCCTCTTCTTGTGTTTCTGCTCGTTCCGTAATCGACACTCGACGCTCATTGTCACTCATAAGTATCTGACCATTGCACCTCCCTCTGTCCGTCCATCAACGCCAGCTAGGCCGCCATCCATCTCGAACCGCTACTTTTGCTTTGTTTGAGCGGCCTTTCATTCTTCTGCTGTTCTTTGGCTCGTATGTTCTGCGTGGTGGCCACACTTGTGTCGCCTTTCCCCTCTTTCTGCAAGCGCTCATTCGTCCTCCCTACCCTCCATCATCCTGTGACCACGACCATGACAGCCCATCCATCCTTGTTTGGGGATGCAAATAGGCTGTCGGCATATGTTCATTTCGCTGTTGCGTGGGTTTCGATGCTCTCTCTAGAATGCTGCTCCTTCGCCTTACTTAGATGGGAAGCAACCTTTATAGAGTACTTTTCTTGAACCGGTGACCCAACCCTCTTGTGGTCTCGAACGGTGGTGGATGGTCTTTTTGACGCCTCGTTTGTCCCTGGTTCCTGTCTCTTTCCCATTTCCCCTGATCTCCATGGCTTCGATGTTGCCCTTCGTTATACCCACGACGCTTGTTCCTGAATAAGAAGTAGATATCGTCTCCATCGCCCTGGAGGCGATATCTCCCCTGCCCTCGTGCCTGCATCGCATGAAGAGCTGCAAGGCGCGTCGACTCCAGAACACAAGAGCGGGTCCTTACTTGGGCCGCAGCCTCTCAGTAACAATGGGCACGGCTTGTGAAGTGCGGGGTATTGTTCCGCACGCGAGCCAATGGTACGGCAGGCTGTTTGGTTGACGACGTATGTATTACATATGAGGATTTCTTGGATGGACGCATGTCGAGGCGGCTGGCCGTTCTTGCCGGCTGGGGTCTTGGATGCGTTCTTGCCTTTTGTTCAATTCGGGATGACATCTGTGCTCTGTATGTCGTGAGAACGACCCACTCACTACTCGGCAAGTGCGCTTGAAGATTGCACCTTTGACAATGTTCGAGGAAGGAGCCCATGACCTCTGTCGCTGTCTACCATCGCTCTTCATTTACTGTAACTCATTTATCCCCTGTCCGTCTCGAAGCTTTCGTAATCCATTTGCTTTCCTTTGTTTTCTTTTGCGTCGTCGACCTCGCACTTCGACTCTTGCGGACATAAAGGCGTTTTGCTGGGGTGTCTCGCGCATGGGGCTGGCTAGAATCTAGCTGGTGACACTGAGTATTTCAGATGGGTCTCCAATCGTCGTTATGACATATTCCGAAGCCGTATCGTATTCCATAGATAGTCGTCACTAAGCCTCTTCAGTTCGGTTTGCTCCGTACATATACCCGCTTACTGTGTCGTGCCGTCAGCTCCTTCTCCGAGTTACACTTGTTCAGGCGGCAGCCCCACAACGCACATTGACTCCCGGTTGTTTTCGGAGAAAGAGCACGGCAAGAAAGCGGTTCACTGCATGGCACTTTCCCAGTATGTTAACAACCGTCACTCTTCTGTTTAGGTGCATAATTCCTAACACGTTACAAAATACGGCTTCTGGTGGCTGTTGCTGCATCGTTACCACAATGGAATTTGTCCAATCCACCCGCCATCTCCACAACTATCCGTCACAATCGCCTTACTGCTGCAGCTACACTAGCGTGCTCATCATATGGAGTCGCTTTCCACTGAGCTACTGGGACGCTCCACGTATCTAAGCTGGCTGCTGGCCAACTGCCCCCACAACGATGCGGAACAATCGTCGTCGTTATTATGAAGGAACCGGCGCCGCTTCGGGTGCCATCCTGGTGCCTTTTTCTTCTTCTTCTTCCTTGATCAGACCATGTCAGGATGGAAACAACCTTGTCCATTGACGAGGCTGTGGAAATACACCCTAGAAGGCCTTGAATTTTCGGCTCAAGGCCAGTTAAGGTAGCCGATACGCCCGGTCACATATCTGTCCCAGGTGACAATTTGGGCCTAGCGTGCCGGGCCGGGACCGGCGATGTATGCAGTATTTGGAGGTCCACGGCAAGAAATACGGCAAACCGCAAGATGCCAACCTCGGAAGAGAGGGAAGAACAAATGGCGATTTACGACGACGACGATAAGTGACGGAAGGACGCCGTCCTTGAGTTGCCTTTTTTGTTTTGTTGACCCGAACACTGGCCATGCTAGCTTGAGGTGTTTTCTTGTTTGACGGAACAAGAAACGGAAGTGCACACCTACCGAGCACGGCCACCCTGGACACAATCGACTAGACACACCGGTCGGAATTAAGTCGTAAAGCGATCCTCCTTGCGAGCATCCGAATTTCAAGCGAGATATTTACTTAAATGGATTGTCGGCATGGTGAGCCAGAACTGCATTGGCAACGTGGACGTGACCTGACGCAAGCAGCTATTGTCACGCCGTCGGCTCTCACCGATTGTTGATTCCGCCAACTCGGAACAACCTTTGCTAACCGATGTTATGCGATGAGGTCGGGTCTGGGTCACGCCCAGGCCCAACTTGGTATAAGTCGGAAGTTCCGAGCAAGATTGGTTACCTCGGGAGTCCCGACGGAAACAATTGAGGCATTTCGTTCCCTGCGCGTCTCTTCTAATCTTATCGTTTCTAACTTCTATCTAATTTTATATTGAAATATTCAAAGAAAGTGATTCCAACTCTTGCCTTGCACGAACCACGAAAAGACCACTCGACGACGCTCTAGACTGCAGTGGTCACTGGCGTCACCTTGGCCGCCGCCTTCTCCTTTTCTGCAACCACGTCTGTTTCCCTCGATCCTTTGCCGTCCTCCGCCCCATCCACAACCGGCGGAAAGTTAATGTCTCGCAGGTACGGCGTCGGGTCGGTTTCGTCCATCTCGCCGCACGTCATGGTGACGCTCATCCAGCCAAAGGGATTCACGGCTGTGTCGGCCGTTGTTGTAAAGTTAAAGTCCTCCCACCGCGGGTGCTGCAGCATCTTGCGGTAGCCATTCGCCGAGCCGGGAAACAGAGCGACGACGCGGCCCTCGGATGTGCCGCGCTTGAACCACGACGTGCACGGCCTGGTGTAGACGGTCCGCGGCACGTACGAGCCAATGTAGCCACTGAACGACTTGAGGGCGTCGTGCTTGACGGCCATGGTGCGGTAGCCCTCGCGCACGCACTTGAGGGTGCACTGACTAATGTAGTCGGCCCGCGACTCAATGGCCAGGATGGAGGATCCGGAGGGCGGCGCGCCGTTGGGCTCCAAGAACATCATGTAGTCGGGCATGCTCTCGGCCCAGATGCTGACATAGGCCTCGGGGTAGAGCGGCTCGGCTCACATCTGCTCGAGGGACACGCCACCACGGCCGACAACGGGGTAGCGTGGCAGGTACGAGGTGTCGAAGCCGGTGGCGGTGATGACGAGGTCAAGGTTGGGGATGTGCTGCGGCAGACGGATAGCCGCACATACGCCGCTGAACCCGGCGCCGGCACAGATGACGCGCACCGGACAGGTATCTTTGATGGCCTATTCGGGCAGTTCAAAGTGGTAATCCTTTGCTTGGGAAAGCATGGTGGAGGGGTAGTTGCCTATGGCGACAGAAGCAGGAACGAAGCAGAGAAGGAGGAAGGAACGATGGGTACATTTCCGGGGCGGACAATAACTGCCCACGGGATGTCCCGTTTCGGAAAGAGCGTTCGCAAGGGAGGGAGACAGCTGGTGATGTTAAACGACGGCAATATATTCTAGAGTTAGTATGGACAAGAGACGGAGTGGCAGTGGCAGAGATATCCTTCAGACAGGAGTCGAGTAGTCGACCGTGCAAGTTGCAAGGCGGCCCTGGGCCATGCAGTCGGCCTATGATCGCCGGCTCACCATACGGGGTGAAGTGGAGAGGGAAGATGTTTCCACAACAAAACGGCCTGCCAAATAGGTCTATATATTGAGGCTGGTTTTCACGCCAGGAACTATGACATGTTCGACCACAGGAGAATATTCGGTGTTTTCGTCTTACAATATGCTGCCCATGCAAGGGAAAACAGACAAGGAATGAAAGCGGATATGACGCAGCTACCAACTAACAACCGTATTCTTATGTCTTTATCTCTCCACATTTCAAAAGTAAAACAAGACAGACTAGCGTGAGATCGAGGTCCTGTCTTGGTGCTGTTCGGGAAGGCTTCCCCATTGCAAAGCGTCAAAAAGTCTGGGAAAGCACACTCCAAGGTAAGCTTACAAGGTCTGTATATTGCCCTCAAACTCTCGTTCCTAGACCCGCGGTGCGGTAGAGTGAGGCCAGACAAAAAGAGTGACGCATATTGATAGCCACGAAACGCAAGACGGGGAGAGTCGGTATTTGTGGTGAAAGGTGCAGTGGAACCAGTTCGCGATGGCCACAGAGAGTAACGGGAAGCGCACGGTTTGTGTTTATTTCCGGGAGCATCACGCGTACTGTGACGAGGTGCAGGCCATAACGATGGGCGCTGTGAGCTGCAGTTCGTATTAGGGCGGCGTTGAGTGTCGATGGTGGGTGGTATGGTGGACAAGTTGCCATATACGACGATGCTAGTTGTCTCCCATCTACTGCTTACTACTCCACAACTTTGTTGCTTCTTTGCATGTTTCCCATCTTCTCCATTCATTTCGTTCTTTCCGTCTTTTCCATTCTCTCCGTCCTCTCCAACCTTTCACTCCGTTTCCTTTCGCACTGGCATTTGACACAGCCTTGTTGTGCGTTGTGATGGTTGCCATGAGTCGGACACACCACAAAGTGACCTTTGGCCGTACACCGCGGCGATGCCATTTTGAAACATACCGGGCTATCGTGTAATAAGTTTGGGAACGCTTTAGTCTGCAGTCTCTCTTTGGGCCTTTGACATTTCAGCCACACTCCCACTCATCCACGTACCAGTGATGCTTTGTTCCGCCTTTGGATGCCTTCGACGGTGTTTTGGTCTTGGTGTCCTCTTTTGTCGACTTGACGGGATCAGCGTCGGCGTTTTTGGATGTTTTCGTCATGGTGACGGCGAGCCAACAGTTGAAAAGAATGAAAGTTGTCGTTGCCGTGCTCGTGTGAGGTAGTTCTTGGTAAGATGTTGCAAGAAATATCATGATTGTTTATTGCGAAGCGTGGTGAGTTTTGCGGTTTCCAAGCATCCGTCCAGGACAAAAGCAAGAGCGGGATTCGTTTGTGCGTGGCACAGAATGCATGGGCTAGAAGATGATTATGGTTGGCACGGCGGCAATGTGCACTTTTCTGCGTATGGGCCCAGTCATGAATGACTCCAAAGGTTATTGACATGTGAGGGAGAAGTGACAACTCGGAGAACCAAATATGACAAAACCTTTGACGTGAAAAGTCACTGATTCGAACATGTCGCAATACGAGCGTTTTGCTGTCCGCATAACGATGAACATGCGTAAAAGAGAGGACAATAGAGCGTTCACGCAACGTTGCCCGATCGCCGGCTTGCTAACTTGCGCTTCCCTCACATAGATTTTCGCGGAATCCACGCCAAGGTCGCCCACATGCGCCACGGTCCACTGGAAGACGACCAGGCAGTCGTCACTGGCCGTCCGGTGGATGTGCTCGGGTACGCGGTGGTAGTCAATGCTGACGACGACATGGCCGGCGTCGCGAACAATCATGCGTGCGAAGAGGTCGTTGGCCTGGATGCTTTCCAGGGTCCATTCATCGCCGTGGATATAGACGGCGTAGGGGCGGCCAGACGGACGAGAAGGCACTGGCGACGACGGTGACGATGGTGACGACGGCCCATAATTTGGCTTATAGGTGCGGACGGGCATGAGTTGGCCATTTTTCTGGGGACGGTGGTGTCTCTGGTGGTGATCTTGTCTGGCAGATCAGGCATGAGGGACATCTCGTCCCGCGTATCACATCCATCCTCCAGTACATGTCGCTACTGCTCGACGGTGTCCTCGAAGTTGACGGCTGGGCAAAAGCCGAGCTGCTTCTCAAGCTGCAGCCACTCGTCGGAAAAGCCCTTCGCGTTGCGAGGCCCGCAGTTGTGATGGAGAGTGTTGGCGGCGGGGGACATGGCTATATAAGGTAAATCTGAAGTGACGTGCGAGCGAAGAGAGACAATCGTGATGACGAGTGACGATGACAAGTGATGGTGACGAGTGGAAATGCCGAGTGATGTCGAGAGATGACAAGTGATGACAAGTCATTACGAGTGGTAATGATAACGGAAGTGATGAAGTGATCACAGTGTTCAAAAAGGAACATAAATCACAATTACTTGCTCCATTTTGCCTTCTTTTCTTTTTCAATTTCGTTTCGTCTCCGAGATGGTCTTCCTAGGCCGGGTATGAGGAGACCAGTGACTGCGTGATTGTTTTGCTGTCGGCATTTGGGATCGTATTCTTTGGAAACAGGAAACTTCACGTCATGGCAAAAGGGAGATGATGCTACGATGGGTCGTCAATGCCTCTTTCCCTTCCAAGACCTAGAACTCGTTCCTTCCTCCGTACCTTGTCATGCGTTGTTCCTTCCACTTGTTCACTTTTGCTACTTCCTCACCCAACCGTCATCCCATCGCACCTTCTACTACTGCCACCTGCTTAAATCACCTGCAGCACACACCCAAACATCTGCTCAATCTTTCGTCGTCGGTCGTCTTGGCCGTTCATTTCTACTGCGTAGAACGGCCAGTGGGACCGAAATCACCACACCCACGATGGCAACCGATACGAGACGAGACAGCGAGGCACCGGGACAAGGCAATGTCGACCTCGACACTCTATTTTCAATGGAACAAGGCACGGCACCACCGACTCCTAGTACATGCTCGGAAACACTCCTAGACGACCGCCGTCCAGCAAGACCACATTGCCGTTCAGAAACGCGCCCGCCCGCGACACCAGGTACAGAATCGTCCCGGCCATGTCCTGCTGGTCGCCAATCCGGCCCAGCGGCACGTGCGCCTTGTCGATCCGAATCACCTCCTGGTCCGTCGTCGCCCCCAGCGCACCCACGAACGCCGTCGTCATCTCGCTTGGGAACGGCCCCGGCGCCACCACGTTCACGCGGATGCCCCACCGCGGCAGCAGCACCGCCAGCTGCTTGGCCGCGTGCGTCGCCGCCGACTTGGACTGTCCGTACGCAAAGCCCGCCGGCGCTTTGCGGTTGAACCCGGCCAACGACGAGATGACCACCACCTGCGACGTCGGCCGGGCCGCGCCCAGGCTGTCGTTGCGCCGCCTGTTGCCCGCGTCCAGCAGGTCGAGGAACGTAATCGCCGTGAACCACACGGCCGTCGTGTTGACCTTGAACGTGTCCTGGAACGCTTGCGGGTCCACCGCGAGCTGCGCCGCGCGCCATTCGGCAAGAGTCGTCGTCATGTCGTTGTCAGCCGGCGTCGGCGTCTGCGGGCCCGACACGCCCGCGTTGGAGACCACGACGTCCAAGAACCCGCTATCCTTGTCGACAAACGACGCCGCTGCGGCCAGGCTCGCCTTGGACGTCACGTCCAGCTCGATGGGCACCAGTACGTCCCGCGACACCAGTCGGTTGACCGCCGCCGCCGCCGACTCCAGCACGGCCAGCCGCCGCCCTGCAATGTACACCTTGGCCGCGCCCGCCTCGGCCATGGCCCGCGCCATGACGAGTCCGATGCCGGTGCCACCGCCCGTGATCAGAGCGACCTGGCCCGTCGCCGCAAAGAGGTTGTTGACGTCGAGCCTGGCGCTCGCCTGTGTAGCAGGAGGTGCAGACATTGCGGAGGGGGGTCAGTGGAGGTCTGGGGAAGGTAGAGGAGAGGCAAGTAGGGTCCAGTTGCAGTCCAGTTGACGTCCAGTTGGCTGAATTGATGCAACTCTAAATAGGATTTTCGCTTCTCAAGAAGTAACTGATGACGCGGTCGTGCTTCTTGATTGGAAATTCGAAAACGGAGAAAAGAAATATATAGAAAGACGCAATCTACGCAGTTGTTTCGGGGTCCTATGACAAATCAAGAAAATGCTTTAAGCTCGTTATTAAGAGACGTTAACACAACGTGCCCTACAAGAGGCCTGGACTAAACGTTCACAGTTCCGGCCTAAAGAACCCCTAAAGGCATCGTCATTCGGATACCGTTCACTAATCCCGCGCCTAACAGGAATCCTCTGAATGGAACTCGCCAGACCGAATACGGAGCTGCATCGAAGCGAATACATAGCAATAAGGATTTAAATAACACATACTTATATATAGATACAGAGAAAGTCGAAAGAAGAGGTGAACAGCTGGTATGAATGAGCTGAGAGGATCAACTGACCAAAGTGAATACTCACGGCATATTACATCTCTCAAATGAAGCCAAAAAAAAGCTACCAAAATGGGCCAACAATCGTGTAATTATCCAAACATGACACTTGCGAGCAGTTGTTGTGAATATAATAAAGAAAATCAATAATGTCACATGGAGGGTATTCTGTAGTTGTCTAGCATGGCTGTCTAACATATTGTCCAGTATTGCAGTGGTGTTTTCTCTATGCCTTATCCGAGTCCCGAGTTCCGAAAATAAAATCCCACCGTTTTGTCTTGTCGTTGAAACAGCAGTAAAAAAAAAAATCTCGGCCCGCGGCGTACGCAATCAGTGGCCTCTTTGGCTTCTAACCAAAGTAGTCACGGTGGTCGCCGGTGTAAGTGTCATTGTTGTTGTATTGACCGGCGTTGGGATCAGGCTCATAGTGGCCATCTTCGCTGCCGCCGTTGTCATCTCCAATGACATCATCATCTTCAGCTCGAGTCTCTTCGGCGTTCGGATTGCCTCGTAGCACGTCTTCCTGCCCGCTTGGCTGCCCGCTTGGCTGCCCGCTTGGCTGCCCGCTTGGCTGCCCGCTTGGCTGCCCGCTTGGCTGTCCGTTTTGCTGTCTGCGCTGTTTCCCGCGGCACCGACTGCTTCCGCTTGCCGACACCGTCAGCTGCCAACGCGAGCCACCAGTGCCACCAGTGCCACCGGTGCCACCGGTACCGCCCGTGACCTCCTCCAAGATGTCATTTTCTACCGCCCACTTGACAAAGCTCCCAGACGTTCCGTCGTCGTTTTCGAAAGTAGCCTGTGGCGGTAACAGCGGTGATGGCGGTGACAATCCAGTGCCTCCAGCCGTTTCCGAGGCAGCAGGCTGTTGCCGGGCGTGGCTTATTATATAGTGGGAGACCCACGCGCTCCAGGCAGTTCGTTCGCTTTGCTTGCCATTTTGCGTCGTTTGGGTCGTCGTCTTAAACTTCCTGTCGCAGCCTTCTTCACGACACTGTATGAGCTTGGGGAGCACGTCCTTTATAATGACCGCGTCCTTGACCACCTTGGCCAACTTTTCTTCGTGGTCTTGAATCTGTTTGTCCATGGAGGAAGAGTCAGGCAGCGTTGATGACGAGGGCAAGGACGAGGCGGCCGTGGCGGCGCCTGGACCCGGAGCCGGACCCGGAGCCGAACCCGGACCAAGTTCCTTTTTCATCTTTTTGTCCTGTTTTGTCTTCTCGGCCAGCTGCTCGCGCGCGTTCTTCACGTCGGCCGGCGTATGCATTGTCAGCCAGTGCTCCCGAAAGTTGTCAGCGCGGGCAAAGGCGTCCATATTCGGGCAGAGTGGGCATGTGCGGGACTCTTCCTTTAAGTGAATGGTCTTTACGTGCCGTCTGAGCTCGGTCACTGAAGCAAAGTCGACTGTGCAGCCGGCAAAGGCGAAAGGGCACGAATGGCGCCGGTGGGCGTGGTTGATATGCTCGTTGAGCGATTCTTGCGTAGGGTGTGTCTTTGAGGTCATTGCAGGGTTGGACTGACACTGTGCGCATGTGATGTTTTCTTGTCCTGCAGACGAGGCTGCCACGTCTGCGAGGCCCAGGTTGGGCATAAGGGACCTCGCTGGACTTGGATTCAGCCCCGTGACCAACCGTTTTCTTTTTTTTGCACTTGCACCAGAGGCGGCACCAGAGGCGGCGGCAGACACGGAGGCTGTGAAAGAACTTTGATGATCCACTGTTGTCAAACACGACGACGCAATGTCTGCTGCTGCTGCTGCCGCCATTGGATTTCTGTCCGACTTGGCCAGCTTTTGAGGCTGTGGGCCCAACAATGTCAAATGTGGTGCGACTGTCTTTGTATGTTCTGCCACATTTGTGTCCACTGCTTTTCTCTTTCCTTTCGTATCTGGAACCGGAGTGAACCGCTCAAAGTTGTAAGAGTCTTGAGCCATAAGCCAACTGCGGCTGGCCTCAACAGCGGCCGATACGACAGAATTGCCGGTCCACAGGTGATCGTACCGCGGCTGAGGGCCGTTGGGTGCATAATTGGCTGGACGACTACCCTCTGTCCTGTGCATGTAGGGGTTGCCGCTCGCAACAGCCGTACTGCTGTTGTTCACGGCGGTCTGGTTGTTCAAGGTATTTGCGCCGATGAACATAAGCTCTTCTTTGATAGGCGCGGACCCAACAATTCTGCCGATGCCATCACTCTCTACTTCGCTGGCACTTAAACGCTGGCCTTGGTGGCCACGGTAGGGAGCGTTGCCCATGGACTGCCTGTCGAACCATTGATCACTCGGCGTTGTGAGAAATGTCTCAGCATGGTTGGTACTCATTGGCATACCAACCTGTCCCCAATTCTCCGGAAATGCGAGAGAGGAGCTAAACACGTCCGATATGTCGCTAGGGTTAAAAAATATACGATCGGGAGAGTTGAAGAGCCAAAGATTGAAACTGCTGGCGTCTACCGTGGAAACAAGGTCGGGCGGTGTACTGTAATTTGGCAAAGTCGACGGTACAATTGGAGATGCCTGCATAGAAGATGGATGCACGGTTGGGGCTTGGGGCGGGCCATAGACGAAGCCATTTTGTGTGGAGGGTTGTAGCATCGGGTGGTCAGGTACCACGTCCTGGCCAAGTCCGTCGTCCACCTCGTGCGGCGGCCCAGGACACGGCAGGCTCGAGCTCTCCTGGACAGCGCCCGCGGGCACCTGAGGGATGTGGTCCATTTGCATTTGAAATGCTCGAATGTGATTAGTAACCGCTGGCGACTTCACATATAATGGTACAAATGGCGGCGGCGACGGCAGTTGGCCTTGTCCAAGCCGGAGGCTGTTTTGCGTCTGGATTGAATTTTGCTGCAAAGTCTGCGGCAATACGAGGTCGCTTGCTTCAGGCACGGTAGCCGTTTGTGTGCCGTCTTCAGGAACGTCGGTGAGCAGCATGTTTAAAAAGTCCCCAAAGTTTTCTTGCATGCTGGTCACATAGGACATGTCGGCAAGGTTTCCGGTATCTAATGTTGGGTCCCGATCATGGCTGCTGTCGGCCGCATACCCTGTGGCGTACATTTCTTCGTCGTTCAAGCCGACATAATTGTTGTTAGGTGGATGTGCCATGCTGGCCGTACGGTAGGTGGATGATGTTGTGGAGTCGTAGATATATATGAAGAGAGGGAACCGATTTGTCGCGATGATGGGCGCTTGGGTCTTGCCTTGATAGATGCGGCTCGAGAGGAAGGCTGGTAGCACGTTCCTGGGGGCTACTCTTCAAGTGGGGAAAGAGCGAGGAGCTGACCTGAAGAAGCCGCAATGGGAAGGAGACGGAGTGCAAAATAAACCCGCAGGGAAGGAGCGGCCCGGGGGAGCTGCAGAGTTGATAGCCTACGGCACTTGAGCTGGGCATAAAACGCAGTGCTTGTTGTTTTATGCTTTTCTTTTGTTGTTGCAGGGTCTTGGTTTCTTGGGCCGGTCGAGCCGAGGGCCGTGGTCAACTTGTTTCTTGTTCCGCCGGTCGACGATGTGCCGGAATCACACGCCTTGGCGCCCTCGCGCCGTCGCCTTTGCCTCTTTTTCTTGTTTGAGAAAATTCCAGAACACGGACCTCCCTGAACGAAACGAGCCAGTCTTGGACAAGAGCAGCCGGCGTCGATGGGAATGTGGCCTACACACGTAGCTCTGGGACGCCGGTCGGCAGCAAGGCGCGGGTCCAGCAAAGATGGCAATCACAGCGTGAAGGTTGTAAAACGTATCCGTCGAGGACGTCAGCTAGCAAGCTCGATGCAGAGACTTGATTCCAGAATTGGGGGTCGGCAGCTCGGGTTGCAAAGAGACGGTTGATGTCGTGCAAGGTAGGGATAATTGGTTACGAGGTCAGGATGCGGGAGGAAGTCGACAGGCGGGTTTGGGACGGGATGGCGATGCAGCTCTTCCAGATACCAGATTTTCTTGGATTGGGATGCGGGTGGTAAAGGGCTCTGTGCACAATGTGCGAGACGTGACGTATTTATGGGGATCTCAGTGCTCAATGACCAGAAAATAATTCCAAAACGAGATGGGATGAGGGCGGGCTCCAAATATGTCAAAATGGTCAACTTTGTTGTTGCTCCAATCCAGGTTGTTGCATCTGTCGTACAGCACGGTGGCACGTGAAGGCGCAGAATATGGGATGAACAGAGTAGGCTTACCAGGGGAAGCACTGCTGGCCAGAAAAATGCACGAGCCGGGAAACAAGCCAAATAGTGAACCGAAGAGGGGAGGAGACTGCAAGAGAAATGGGCAAAGATGCAGAAGAAGCATCAGAGTCTTCTAAAGCGTGAACAATGGGCAAGAAAACAAACCAGACTCGAAAATCCAAATGTATGGGGATGCTTTGTTTTAATATGGGCGGTTTTAGATTTGGAGGAGGCTCAATCGTATGTAAGGGTGGCAGAGCTAGCAAGGCACGCATTCCCTTTGCTCGTAGGAGACGTAAGTGGGTGGCTAAGGAAGAGACAGAATCTGGGAACACGCAAAGGGAGACTACGAGATCTTGAAACGGCAGTCCAATCGGGACGCCACACATCCTTGCCTCAAAGTCCATCCGGAGCCCTGTGAAGTTTGTGTGCGTCAACTGCATGTGTGAGGGCCCACCACGTCGGCCGGCCCAAAGTATCGTCACGGCCAACTCGGAGGCATCTAATCTCGCCTTGTGGGAGACCACGGCCTTGTGCCAGGGGAGCTGCCTCCTCCCGATATCCATTTCATTTCTCTGCCTCCGTCTATCTTCTGTTCAAAGCTACGCCAAACATCCGATGAGGCACCACGAATTGCGTCGTAGATCAAATATATATTGTATTATTATTACATATATTTCCACTCCCCTGGTACGTCACCGGTTAGGACGCCGAGTCTAGAAAACGCGCGAAGGGGAAAAGCAGTACAAGGCTCAACGAAACTACCGTGGCATGGCAAAAGGCTCTAAAACGTTTTGGGGCACGGTCCAAGGAGACTGCTTTTCCTCTTGTTTTTTTTGGGGGGGGGGGGGTTTCTTTTTCAGACTGCTTATCCCACCACAAGCAAGTATCCTAAGCCTTGTGAAGGGGTTCATTACATTGGGCACCAATCCTAGGTCCGGCGCGTCGCACAGAAGAGAAAAATCCGACAATGCGACAAAACCACAATGTCTCGCTCCGGTTTGTCAATTCCATGTTAATTGAAAAGGATTGAAAAGGGTTGAAATGGGTTGAAAGGGTTGAAAAAGATTGAAAAAGGTTGAAAACCATAAGGCCCGTACGGACAAAATCCAGGTGATATTCACGGCCGTCAATCAACACTCCATAGTAAGATTGCCCAGCGTCAGGCTTGGCACACACTCTAGAGCGACAAGGCCCCATCCTAGCTGTCCATTCCGTCATCCGACTCGAGGCGTTGCTCGAGTCCCCTGGTCCGGGAAAGCGGAGCCTGGGTTTTAATGGCACCTGCAATGGCAACCAGGTTTACAGAGCGCACAACGGTAGCCAATACATAAGATTGTTGGGTTGACACGGAGATACCGTACCAGAAAACGTACGGAAATGGTGGGGGCGCGAGACTTGCGAGAAATGTTTCTTCAATAGACATTCAATGCCGACAAAAAAACGGGGACCAATTAAGCTCATCTAGCGCGAAAAGCCGCCAGCGCTGGACCCTGGAGCGGCTTGGAGCGCTCCGTTCCCGTCGTTGGCGTATTTGGTCGCGTTTGGAGTCCCACCTTTACTGTTCCACTGTTAACGTCATGCGAACGTCGTCCTTACATGGCTGACAACAACCGTTTTCAATGCCCGTAACCTGTGTCAAAACACCGAGACTGGACTCGACGTTCGAGTACGCCAGACATTACTCGGCGCCAAAAGGAGACAAGGATAGGCCAGAAGAGGGTAAGTAACAGGACGACGCCGACCGATGAATTGAATAATGTGCCGTATGCTAAGACAAAAAAACGGAGAGAGAAAAAACATCTCCAATACGTCAACATTGAAAAAAAAGGCGATGTGGGGATTTCGACATCCAAAAACCACACTAGGAGAACACAACTAAACCCAGACTAGAACTAGAACCCGGGTAATGCAAAGTCTTTCGTACGTCCACTTCACCCCTGTTTCGACAACCTGCTGATGACGACGACCCGTATCCTGGACTCACTGGACACCCGTTTTTAACACCGCAATTTAAGGCGACAAGAAACGAAACAGTGTCCAGATACAGGACTGTCATGGATTATCATTGGTGTACAAGTGCAAACGCAGACTGGAGTCGGAGTGCGAACTTGCAAGGCGGTTCGCATTTTAGATGGGTTTTTTTTTTTTTAAAAAAAAAAGGGACATCGAAGTGGACGTATCGAAAGTTGGCCTTATTAAACTTTCCCACTACGCACCCAGACCTCGAACTCTGCGGTCCAAAAGTGACCTGTCCTGAGACAGAATGAGCTTGGACCAGGTCGCCTTGGATCATGAGCGGGGCTTTCAAACCGAATCGGGGAAGATTGCTCGCAGAAATTTGGCCCTTGTCATGTAAGTAAAATAAAATGCTCATTTTGCTGGCGGGTTGTCCTTGGAGAGTTCAGGCCATTTTTCGTCGCCAGCTGATCCCAGTGGACGCCTGGCAGTCCTAAGCGTCGATCGCGGGTGGATTTTCAAAACATGCAATGACGAAAGCTGCTCCCGCATGGCCCGGTCACTAAATTTACCCACAGTAGCTGCCCACTGAGGAATACACTTTGACGTGGAATTTTTCGTCCGCAAGTGACGGGTCTGGCCTGGGCCAAAACAGAACAAACAATTAACAGTGGCTGCATAGTGGGACATAGAGGAAGCCCTTGGGCCACCAGTAAACTCACGTTTTAGCATACATTGTTTCCTTTTTGGGAATCATTAACAAAGCGTGTTATTTTGTCATGAATCCTCGGCCGAACGAGGCAGTATGCACGACGTAATGTATCTGGTCAAGACTCCAGCCGGTTCACTTTATAGGGCGCGATTTCTATCCCCCCCCCTTTTTCGTCCTTTATTCGAGCTTCACGCGAGAAGAAAACTGCAATCTACTGCTCTGCAGCTCGACATGCAAGAAGCCGGTTCGATCGTCCAGCTATGCGCTACCGACTACCGATGGGATACGAGACGGGAGTCAGAAGAGCAAGACTCAGCTATGTCCAGCACTACGGACCCACTTAGAGCCGCATGGTTGTTCGACTATTACCACTTCCCGTTGAGCAAAGGAAAGGAAAACAGCGAGGGTAAAAAGTAAACGGCTTCCCGGTTGTTGTGGCCTCTGGAGTAATTCATTTCCGGTGTCGGCTTGCACTTTTCAGCGCTCATTCTCTTGCACTTTGATATCTGTGTTCGCTGAGATAAACGTACCTTTTTTGATGACGTTGGATGATCTCACCGTCTGAGTCGCAACTAGGCGTGATTCCTGGGGACAGGCCCACTCCTTGTGGGACTCATGGTGTAAACAGGCGGTTAACCCAGCTGTTTCGTTTCTTGAGTTTTCTCCGTTTTCTTGTGTCGCGCATCTATACGCGTACCCGGACAATTTAGAGTGGCTGGTGGTAGGCTTCCTATGCCGGTAGAGACTCGGGACTTTTGTGGCTATCTTGTTTCACACATATCTCGTTTGGTGAAGAGAAGGAGTTCCGAGTACAACGCAGGGCAAAACACTTTGCAACCCAGGTAAGCGTAACATGTAATATGACAAGGTCTCTGTACTTTTCCTCTTCTGATATTTTGTTTCTGGCCATTCTGGCTTAGACCTTTCTGGTTCGGACCTTTTCGTTTCTGATCTTTTGTTTCTAATCTTTCGTTTCGGATCTTTCGATTTTGATCTTTCGTTTCGTACCCTTGTGATCACTCGGAGCTTTGTGCCTATTTAGGTTACTAAAAAGAAGTACTTCTCCGTAATTACTGTCACAATACAGGGTGACAGTTGATCCTTGATGTCGGTATCTCGGCAAACCTTGAGCCACGTGGTGGCATTCTTGTCGTGGGGCAGTCAACGTAGACACTAGAAAGTTACCCTGGACTTGCAGTGGAGCGCTCGCTGACACTAGAAAATTGCAAGAAAATATGTGCGAATTCACAAAGTGGAAAAGGGAACTCGACTCTATTTTTGGCACTCGCCAACGCAATCTTTGTCCAAAAATACCAACAAACGCGTTGCCTAGAACAGGAGTCAAAACTCGCGACAATGTCTTGATCTTCACTAACCAACAGCATGCGTACGAAATGCCTCCGCCGTGAAAGTGAAGACGACCGGTCTCCCGTTCTACCCTTTCACTCAGCTGTCCACAGGTAACAGGTTTGCCCGTTGAAGGCGCACGCCAGACCTAATGAGGGGCAACATCAACGAAAAAACAAAGGGTGCTAGAACAGAGACAACGCAGTCCCACCCAAATATTTCACAAGTAAGACAGCTTGAGCGTCGGAGGACCCTTTGTCATGTGCAGCTACAGGGGCCAAAGTCAAAAAATGAAAGGAAAAGACCAAAATTGAAGTGAAACTAGAGAAAGAAACCAGAAAAAATGGCGCCTTTCAAACAATAAAATGATAAAATAATAAAACTCGAAAAGTAATGTCTCCAAAGAAATGGTTCGGTGTCTCTTGTTTCGATTTATGCCTCGTGGCTGTGCGATCCCTGAAAAGTGCGTGCACTGCTACCAACGAGTGGTTCCGTCCGCAGCATAATTCCTCGGTAGGGCCGAACGAGGTCCGGGCAAGAAAAAGCGGTGACGGTTTGCGAGATCCTGGCAACGAAAATTGATAATACCACCCCCATAGTGAAATATGCGCGTTCTGTCCTGGGAGCGTTCTGGTCCAACCTGGTCCTCGCAGCGGGACCACAGCGCCGGCGACCTTCATTGCATTTCCTGGTGATAAATGAATGTAGCCTTGCGTATTCACGTGCGTCCCGCTGGCGTCGCTGGTCTACTGTCCGTACATTTGATTTATATCCGTTTTCATTTCCATCCACTTCGTTTCATCCATCCATTCCCTTCCATTCCTTTCCATTCCTTTCCATTTCCACTTCCGAAGCCAGTAAGGTTCACGTACTGATATTGTCAAGGCTTCATGGAGGCGTCCAAACCAAAAGTGAAAATGGCTGACCGCCTTTGTATGGATGCATGTTTAATGCAGGTCAAAAAAAGGTCGACCATTCCAGCATATTTTGTTGTCCTTTTGTCGTACCTAAATTTTGGGGGCCAAATGACACGTCTCAATCTTACCGTCACGAGGTGTCAACTGGGGCATCACTCGAGGGCGTGATTGACTTGGGCGAACCTCGCCGATGTTGTCGTTTGGCCCCCAAGTCGTACCGTACGGTTGTTGGCTGTGCATAACCTGTTGCTGCAACCGGAAACGACCACGGCGCTCATCGATCTCAATCAGTAAGAGTAGTCCTGTGAAGGTCGGGTGGAACGAGAACAATGAGAAAGGAGCAAATGACAACAATGTAATTGTAGGGTATAATACTGCAAAACGCCAAAATGTGCATCTGATACGGTCCAATAAAGTCCAACAACTCCCTAGGCTCCAAAATATCACGTCCTCAAATCTTTACAGGTGACAAAAGAAAAAGCGGAAAATATGCAAATAAATCAGAACCAATCAGCCATCATAGTATCCGTACCCTTGGTTTTCATGGGTCTCGGTAGTTCGTCAGAAAGATTTGTGTTGTGTCGTTAATGTCTCGTCAAATCAACGGAAGGAAACCAAAATCAAAGTTTGTGAATCAAAGTTTGTGATAAGCAAAACAAGCTCAGATCCGCAGAGTATGACAACAGCCAACTGGCGTCGAACGTCTCACTCGCGGTCACACACACCGCACATGGCGTGCTGGCAGTCGTTGCACATGACATCCGAATTGGCGGTGTTGATGATCTTGCAACGGCACTGTAGTAAACCATTAGCGAATCAATGCAGTGAACCGCAGACGTAAAGATGAAGTAAAAGCAAAGAAAAGCAAAACTAGCAAGCCCGACACTTACACAAACCCATGAAAAGAAGCGCGCTCCAGCTTTTCGTCTCGACGATTTGCTCCGCTTCGTCCTGGACAGCTGGTCATCTCCATGGTGTCGTTTCCGATACGCCGCGTCGTCGTGGTTGCTTCGGTGGCTCCGTAAGGAAACTTCACTGTCGTTGTGGTTGGGCTCGGGTCCAAGTGCATCGTCGGGCACCCACTCTGCAATGTTCATTTTCCGGTCGCCACGGCCCACAAAGTGATTGTCAATATGGTTAAACCGCTTACTCAAGAACTCGGAAAAGAGAATGAATCCGTCCCGGCACAGTTGAGGTTCTGGCGCAGTCTCCCTTTGCTTTCCCTTTCCCTTGCCGACGTCGTCGTCGTCATTGTCCATGTTGGCAGCGGAGCTTTCGGCGACAGCTTTGGTGGCGGTATCGCTGTTGCTGCTTTCACCACTTGTTTTGGTACTAGCTGGCTGAACCCGAGCAGTGACGCGAATGTACGTCTCGCAAAAGCCACACCAGTACCTACAGCTTTCGGCTGGCACAGCCCTGTATCGCGCCGTCTTCTCACGCAGTGTTTTCTTGTCGTCTACACTGTAGCCATGTTGTCGGACCAGATGCAGCCGGTACATCGGCGCCGACTTGAAGACTTGGCAGCAAGGGATGCGGACATTCTCGTCCACCGTGTCCATCATCTCACCACACTGCCACTCCTCACCATGAACAGGCTCTTGGAAATGGAGGCCTTCCTCGTGCCGTTTCCAGTCATTCTTGCTACCAAACAGCTTTGCATCGCTGCCCTTCATTATGCAGCTAAAGGTGCATGCATATGGACGCTGGTGCCGCTTCTCGTGTTTTCTAGACATGTCAAGCGAGGTCAGTAAATGACAGGGTGCAAAACTGAGCACTTGGAATATGTTCATACCGTAATGACGCCTTGCTGACGAACGATGCAGAGCATCCATCCTGTGCACAAGGGTGACGCCCTGCTTCCCTTGTAGCTGTATGCTCTGATCGCACACTCGGCACACTGCGTTTTGCCGGGGTTACGGGAACCTCATCCAGCTGGAATCCTAGGCTCTTCAGTCGGCCGCCAGCGTCATCAAGCCTCTTCAGTCTCTTTAAAACAGCTTGTAGGCGGTCGTCTGACAAGGTATCAAACGCAATGTCGTCAATAACAGCAGCCGAAGCGTACGTCTCGTCGACGTCAGTGGGACCTTTGGCATCGACATCCTCAAACTCGCTCTCCACGTCGGGTACTGTGAGGTCGATGTAGCTCTCTGCGCCAACAGATAGATCACGTGTAACTTCCTGTGTCTCTTGCAACACTGTCGGCGACGCTCTAGACACCTTTAATCGTTGCTCCTCTTGTGCATCTTGATCATGCGATTTCTCTTCCCCACGTTGGTGCTTCAGTGGTTGCTGCGGCTGTTTCATACTATCGCCTTCGTTTATAACAACAGCGTCAACAACGTCAATGCTGGCAGCAACGTCGTCATTCTGGCCGCCATCAGAGCTCTTCTGCGTCTCAACCGCCATTATTTCAGATAGGTCGTCTTGAAGTTGGATGTGGCGATTAGGGGCTCCTGCGACGGCGTCGAGACCGGGAGACATGCCCTTGCTAGGACCCGCAAGCATTGAATGAAAGTGTACAGACGCCCATGTTCCGTCGGTGTACTTGAGCAGAGGTGACGGGTCGGGGCCTGTTTGCATACGTCGAATCGCATCCATGCCATAGCAATCCGCATAGGCGCGGTGCACATCTCTTTTCGGGGCCACTGGTTCAACAGGAACTGAGTGCCGCTCAAAACTTGGCCGCGTGTGCGTGCCAAAAAGGACATCGCTGCCATCCCGAGGACTATCAAGTGGCGGCTTTGGGTTCATCCTTTGCTGCAATGGGTGGCCGTATAGCTGGACAGTCACACGTGGATTCGGGGTGGAATGAAAGGTACTTGGCCTTTGATGCCCGAGGCTTGGGGCGGATGACGGGATTTGTGGTGACCAGAGCGTCGGGGAAGGAAGGCTCAGGGGCAGTGCCGATGCAAAATTGAAAACGTCACTCGTCGCCGATATCGTCGGGTGAATGCTACGAAGTTTTGATGACATTAACCGCGTTGCCATGGACTCGTTCTTCGTCGTGGGCAGCAATAGTCCTGTAGTGGCGCTGGTCCATGTGGCACTTGTAAACGGCTCGGCCATGAGTTCGTTCAATTCCGACATGCAATCGTGCAAGTCGATAGAGCCAACTTCGGTGTCCAAACCCGGCGATTGGGTGATATCTGGTTCGGAAGGGAGGCCCATGCCAGCAAGATCAGTCTCCAGTGGGTCGTTATTTCTAAGCGAAGCAGATTAGCCAGAGCGTTCAAATATGGTCGCTCCCATAAACATTGAATAAGGGGACATTTGTGGCGAGGCAAACACTCACTTCACAAGATACTTCTCGCGGTTGTCTGCCTTGATATGGTGTACATCCAGGATATGTTTTTTCAAATTGTCCCAACGTGGCCAGGGCTTCCTTCTCTCACTGCATATTCCATGGCTGCATATGAAAAACTCCGAGAGGGTCCTGATATCTTTGTGGCAAGACGTGTGATGTCTTTTCCGATCTCCCCTGCTGGCAAACCCAATGGAAGCCATTTTGCAGTCGGCCACATGGCACTTGAACGGCTTAAGGTGAATGCGAATATGTTTCCTAGATGAGAAATAACGAGTCAGTCCAAGTACCACAAAACAACGTCTAAAGTGCACGAAAGCAACCTAACCAAGACAAAACCCCGTCACGTACATCATCTCGGACCTTGTCTTGGTGACTTTTCGGTTATTTTTTGGGCACAGAAAGCAGTTGAAACCGTTCTGGTTCTGAAACGAGTGGCGCTCAACAATCTCTGCAGTCCCGTTCACGCTCTGGCTGTCGTTGATATCCGGAGTGCTGAACATGTCTGTCGTGTCGAAGCCAGTAGCGGCATTTTCAAACAGGTCATCGTGCGTCATATGGCTGAACCTTGGTATACTTCCCTGTGTCCAATTTTCGGAGTCACTGGTCGCGGGTATGTAAAAGTCAGATGGAGGCAGCGAGGCTGCAGACCGCGCGTCTAGTTGCATACCACCAATAGCAGTATCCAAATGGGCCAACCCGCTCAACGTCGTGGCGTTGGAGCCATCGTGAAGAGAGCGCCCGCCAGTACTCGGCTTGTTACGGAAGCTGTTGGTACCATACGTGGAGTCTGGTGCGGCCGAAAACTCGGATGCCGGTCCCGGAGGGTGTTCCCGATATAAAAAGCACGGCGAGGTAATCGCCGTTAGGCCATGCCCATGCAACTTGGCGCCGACTGGGACATCGTCTGAGTTGACAATGTAGTCCACCATTGCCGGTTTCAAGTTGGCATACGGGGGCGGCTTGGAAGGTGAGTGTTAGAATGCAGAGGATGTCTTGGCCAACCGAGTGGGTGCGAGATTTCTTACCATCATGACGCCATGGGCAGGGCTACCTTGTTGGGATGGCATGCGATCCATTGTGATTGTGCTACTGATGTGAACAGCCACCTCCGCATTAACCGAGGGGAAGTTGTGTGCGCGTGGGCGAACGGGAGTGGCGCTGTCCTCCGAGATGATATTCGCTCGCCAGGCTGTTGTGGCTGTTAAGGCGAGTCCAGAAAAGAGGTGACGTGATCAAACTTGGGATCGCGATGCCATCGATCGGCCGACGGGAGGTAAGGCTCCACCGCGAGTCTCAGCCGTTAAAAAACGTCGGCAACCGGTGCATGCGAGCGGCCAGCGCCGCGTCGACAGAAAGATCTCTCAGAACGGAGAGACGGCCGGGCGGCAGACCCGGTGACCGTCACTCTGTTGTGGTGCGGGAGCAGTCCGACAAAAGAAGAGCGGTGTGTGAGAACCCTGAGGTGCAAGGCTAACCGAGCTGACGCGAAACGGCGCAGTTTCGCTAAGGGCGATAGAAAGAGCGTGGACCTGAAGGCGCGTCGCGACAAGAGATGCGTGAAGCTGGAGGTCTAAAAGAAGAGCGCGGTGAACATTCAGGGGAGTGTGGGGGAGTAGAAGGATCGTGGGAAAGGGAAGGAGCGACTCATATTGTTTAGATTTGGATGCGGTCGCGACTGCTCAATTTAGATGAGGCTGAGAAGCCCCAAATCCGGCAGGCGACGGGTAACAGAGCGGGGCGGTTACAGTTTGGATGGCTTTCGGTGCCTAATTCGTGGTGGCAAAGTGCCCTGTGCGGCCTTTTGGACCAGGCCAGGCCGGTGGTGGATGGTGAGGCTGACAGGGTATTGGCTAGCAACTGGGCAAGGCACGGGACAGACAAGAAACGTGGCGCGGAAGGAGCGATGAGATGTGCACAGAGCCCAGCAGCGTGTCTTGAAACAAGGCTGCCTCACGAGACAGGGAAGGAACGGAGTTCGCTCGGCTTTGGACAAAGTATGCAGTTAAAAGTATTGCATTTTGGGAGCACTTGTTGTCAGACGTGGGAAAGATGCACAACAAAATATCACGAAATATCAAAACCCCTCGAGATGGGTCTACGAAAAGCCGCACTGTAGGTCGGAAGGCATCTTGAATTAAAAGGCGTTGCGAAACTGTCGAGCCCAGCAAAGTGCAGTACAATTGCTCATAATGGGCATCACGATGATTAACGTTTTGGTCAAACAGATGAAATTATAGATGGTGTTTACATAAAACGAAGGACAATAAATGACGGAACCGAAAACTACAGGAAAAAAAGAGAAAGGAATAATAACAACTAACAGTGAGATGAACGAAGGTGTTAGAATCGAAAGAAGAGCAAGATGAGAAAAACATCTCCTTTGTCTTCTCTCAATTTCCTGAGATCATGTTGAAATGTGGAGAGAAGAGGTATGAAAGTATGTTTTGTCCGGCAGTACTCCTGTAAACAGAAAAAAATGGCAAAGAAAAGAAGAAAGAAACACAACTCAATGAATCCCAAAAGTGCGAAAACGACAAGATAATGAACTAGGTAATGATGCGGACGAGGAACTAAAGAGTAATGTCCCAGTCGCCGCATTGCAAAATGCGGACCATGTGTTTCCATACGAAAATAAATCGTGCACTTTCCTTACAGCAGAAAGCAAAGGCAGCAAGATCAAGATTTCTCACCACAAAATGACGCTCCAAAAAGGCAAGATCAACTTCTGACGAGTGGTTGTATGACAAACACCGGAATGCAAACATGGACAAGGATTGCAGAACCATACGACACTTGTATCCAGTAGGATACCTCCCTTTGCAAATCTGCCAGCCAGACCCTCACACCCTGCAGCTCATGCAAGTTCACACCGCAATACGCCTCCGTCTCGTCTCTCTCGACCAGAGAAGCCTCTCCTGCCATCCAATAACGGACAAGCTAGGCTAGCATCCTGCGAGTAGACACAAAGCTGTCCTACGGCTGAGAATGAAGTGCAACGATGTAAAATATGACTTATTACCGAAATGAAGACTTGATGAGAAAGCTACGTATGTACTCTCTTTATTTCACCCTATGTCTATGTTTTCCTTTTTTTATTATTTTATAAAAAAAAGCAGAGCACAGGACCGTTGACGCAATTGCGTCGCTTTCGAGTTTCGTGGCGTTTTCATTCTTTCCGTTTTGGTTGGCACAAGGTCTCTCGGGCTGCATCTCGGTTACAGCTTGCATGGATATACACCTCGAGCGTCCTATTAGACAGTGAATAGAAGAAAGCTGTCGACGATAAAAGATGCTTTGATAGCCAGTTCAACCAGCAGGCAACGCATTCATACATCCCATAACATCGCCGTTCCTAATTTTGGCCCGTCACACCCATGCCCACGGAATTGTCCCCGGCGTTTGCTACAGCCATCATTCGTGGAGATGTGTCTTACGTGCATATAGACAGAACACGAGTCCCAACAGACAATCATAAAGAAGGGAGAGGCCGGGGATGGGCGGTGGACACGGCGGGTGGCAGGGATGTTGCTGGCATTGCTTTCTTTTCTTTTTTTTTCTGCATGAACCCGTGATAATGTTTTCTTTTTCCTTTGTCTTGTGCATACAGTCTGCGTCAAGGTGCTGTAAGGTGCAGACACGAGAGCGCGAACAATGGAACAAAAAAGGCGAGAGACGGAAAATAAAGAAATATTATAGAATCAGAACAAAATTGAGATAGAATGCCAGAACTGATAACTTCACTCCCACAACGAAGACGGGAAAACGGCCACTAATGCACACACTGCAAGGTGATACAGTCTGTACAATCTGTGAGAACCCCCACGTTGATGTTACAACCGTGCATGGATGCAGCTGAAAATGAACAAAGAAAACCGGTGATTTCCCTATTTTTACCAGAAAAAAAGCCAAGAAATACAAGCAACTGCTCAGACAAGTCAATATTCACTGTACCAGAAAAAAGTCCACTTTGAATGTCTAGGTATCTCCAGTCCTATGTAGCAAACATAATTCTGCTTCTCCAGACTACGCTACCCAAAATCTAAACACGATTCGAGGCAATCGTGGTCCTTAAATCTTGGAAAGCAGATCTTGGATAGTGGAATCTTGGGTTTGAGGCCTCAGTGCTATCCTGCAGTGGTAAGGTAACTGCAGCCTTTGGTTCTGGGTAAAGGAAGGCACAGGGCCTCTCGCGATCGGTAGCAGATTGACAGATGGTAGGAGAGATCGTTGGTTCTATTGTTTGGTCCCTCCTGCACCAAGCCGGTTCTATAGGACCTACATTGCCCAACGGCCATCTCCTTGAGATAGATTGATCTTCTGGGAGCCTGTCAGATAACTATGAAAAGAATACAAGTCTCAAGCTGGAAGAATGAAATTCTCTCCCACACACCCTCCACACCTCGTCAACCTTTTTGTCAACCTTTTCGTCTTTTCTTTCTCTTCCACACCCATGCTGTTGTCCTTAGACTCCGCCTCCCTGATTTATTGGACAGCGTGGACGCACGTCAGACGTCAAATGGGCTAGGCCCTACGCCTTTCTTTTTTTTCGTCTGGACATGGTCATTGTCACAGGATTTTGATTCGGCCGTTCAGTAGCATGATTGCCTTTGACTTTCTTTTATTGAGTGGGGAGACTTTGAAGAAACTGGGACGGAATGAACAGTCCGAAAACAGAGCATATGACAAGGTAACAAGTAGATTGGTTTCTGTCTATCATTGTTTCCATGTCGTACAACCATGAAAGCACATCCTATAGTATCTATGAAAGGTCAGTGGGCCTGTTACCGTTCACAAAAGTCCTCTCCACCGACAAGAAATTACAGGGATGGCCAACTTGACAGTGTCCTTGAGCAGCACAGTGACATCTTCGTTTCATCCGTTGCGTGGTTTGTACACTCGGGTTACAAGATGAACAGCAGGGCCGAGGGGAAAGTAGCTCGATGCGCTGCTTCTTGCTCGACTTCGTGACGAGGCCCTTATGTCCTTACCAACATGGGACAGGATATGCAGGCAAAGTGAGGTACCGTTCGTCTCTTCGTCTGCGCTCTGTCCATGCACGGTGCAAGTCGACAACCCGGTGCCAGGCCCCAGGTGCTGAGGACCTTTTTCAAGAAGCCTGTGTCAGTACTCACGTCCCCATAGTCGTTCTTTAACCAAAACTAACTCGGTTGGGTAAGAACCACGGGAGCTTAACTTCGGGCCGGTAGGTCACGGCGCGGGTTGTGGGGGCGCCGGATTGTACAGAGTACAAAGCAGGGATGGATAAGAGTACATAAGGAAAACGAGACACCACAAAAATGAAACGAACAATCAAATAATAAATTATAAAAATATTTAGAAAAATGATAGCTGAACAACTAGGCCGATTGGATGCCTATTATATGTGCTGCAACGATCGTACGAGAAAGCCGGGGAGGATAGGAAGCACTTCCAGAGAGAGTGCATACAAGGAAATGAGTAATGGCACAGCAAAAGAAAACTAAATAAAATAAACAAAGGGGGGTGGGTGACAAAACGAGAAACAAAAAGGATGTGATCTGTCACTTTTTTCGTGGCTCATCTTCTCGACATTTCTTTCCCATTTCTTTTTTTTTTTTTTTTTTTCATGTCCTCTATTGCTTCCCGGTCTTCGTTCGAACCAACACGACGTTGTCCTATCCTTCCCCTCCAAGAAGAGGAGACTGGCAACCTATGCTGTTATCGTTTACGAGAAAGAAACCGAGTGGCAAGGCAAAAACCCTGAATGGAAGACGAATGACTTGCTCGCTTATACGCACCGTTCTCGTCGTCACGGCCGACGCACCTGGCAACCCATTGCAGAACGCACTGTTGGTGTTGTTCGAAAAACAAAAACAGATATATGACAGAATTTGGGAAACGAGAACAAATAGGAAGCAGGATACACTCTCAGACTGTCGTGTCGTCCAAACGGATTCTCTCGTGAGATGCCGGAGGCAACAGACAAAGCACCGGCTGTGTTGTCGAGAGGGGGAAACAAAAAGAATTGTTATTGCATCGCACCGAAGTCGCAAATCAAGAAAGGAAATGGCTTATCGTTGGCAACTGCGTGGGGGAT